TGCACTTTTCAGGTTGTAGCTGAGTACTTGCACTTGAAACGCCTTGTAATATTGATTAAATTTTAGCGCTGACCACGAACGTCAGAGTGGAATGGATCAGTTTCATACACAGATAGTCATCAACTCGACTGGTTGGAACATGTGGCTGACCCCTGTGATCCTCTACAGCTCTTGTAAGATGGATGTCAAGTATTTCCCTTTCGATGCCCAAGTAAGGATCTCTGAAACACCTACTGATTAGCATGTGATTCAAGGTAACGTTCGGTCGTAAAACCAAAACCAAAGCAATCACAACAGCTGATCATGACATAGAATACATCCCGAGAACTCGAAGTAAAGAAAGCAAACCACCTGAAGCATGGGAAAACTGCCTGAAGCGCAGGAACTGACGCGAATAACCAAGTCGCGGTTGTTTTTAGTTTTGAATCTGATTGGTCGAGAAAGTGGCGCGATTTTTCTGGATCAATCACTTTGATTATCTGTGATAAATTAATTGTTCTAAATATGATTCATATGATCTAGAATCACTGTAAACGAACAAGCGGTTTGAAAGCAACTATAATTTGAGTAAGCTAATGGGCTGCTTCTCTAACTTTGTGGATTTGTGGCAGTTATAATTCATTTACTAATAGGCTTGTGATTTGAAATTCGGCTCCTGGACATATGATGGCTTTCGTATGGATATGGTCCCAGAGGCACTCATTGCAGACACATCAAAGTTTGTCAGCAACGGCGAATGGGAACTCATCTCATTTCCTGCAAAGAGGAATGTCATCTACTATGTTTGTTGTCCAGAGCCCTACCCAGATGTTACTTACACCCTGAGAATACAAAGACTGGCTCTGTTTTACTACATGAATCTGATGATACCGTGCCTTCTGATAACAGGTAAACAAAGAGAAAAAGCAGAAGTGAGAAATTGTCAGCTGCAAGAGCTTATAAAATATTTGATAACTTTGCAATGATAACCTTGCAAAATAAGATTGTCTTCAGTCAAGATGGTGATAATGACTATCCATACGGTTTTGCTCAGAGATAAAAAAAAAATCAAATTTTCTAGGTGACGAGAAAATAATTTGGAGATCTTCTGATCTGTTTTGTAGGTAATCCAGTGCGTGTAAAACATAAATTGCAATTTCGATCTACATTGATGATTCAAATCTGTTCTCGTGAGGGTTAGCCCTTCGTCAGTCCCCCGGCTCCCATTCGCCCTAATGAAGGGCCTCACGCTCGTAACGTAAGCTTTTTTAAACTCCTTACGATGGCCAATTTAAATTATCAACTCAATAGATAAAACTAAATTATCTTGTACTCACCCCCACCACAGTTTCTTTATAAACTTATCCCCTTTGTACATGTATGATTCTATTACAGTGTTGACAGTCACGGCTTTCTACCTGCCCCCTGACTCTGGTGAACGTATTACATTGGTGATTACAAACCTGTTAGCCATGACTGTGTTTATGTTGCTTGTGGCTGACATCATGCCGTCAACTTCAGAAGTGATACCAGTGATATCAATATACTTTAGTGGTGCGATATTTGAGGTGTGTCTGTCAGAAGGTCTCCATGGGGTGATGGCTTTTGCTGCTCATGGTTAAAATTTTGGCCATTTTATGGTTAACGGCTAATTTCTTTCCGTTATAATTTAAAGAAAAATTTTTACGGTTACTAACTTTTTTTTACAACCCACATTTAAAATCTTACTCCCAACAGCGAAAATTTTTTGGTCGTTTTAGGCATAACGGTTAGCCTCATTGAGACCCTATATCAAGTGGGTCTTAAATGTTAAGATCAGACTTGAATTGTCATGAATGTAGTTTGTCATGGAACATTTTGATCTTCTGCAAAACGTTCTTGATCACCACTAGTCTGATTGATATAGATCTATTTCATTTTTAGTCACCTATAGAGTCATTTATTTCTTTCAAATTTTGTTTTACTTTAAGGAGAATATCCGCTCCCCGACAAAACGGCTAAAAGTACTGTCACTTAGTTCCCTGGTGTAAAAACCCGAGGACCTCGCTCCTCTGCTATCACAAATAAGTTACGATAGCAAGATATCCTCCTTAGTTGCTCATTCAGCCTGATACATATATCTTTCTTTAGATATATCAACAAAGTTGTAATGGTAAATTGGCCACCGTAACTATTACAAAAACTGACGTTTCGAGCGTTAGCCCTTCGTCATTCGCTCCGACGAAGGGCTAACGCTCGAAACGTCAGCTTTTGTAATCGCGACGGTGGCCAATTTACCATTTCAACTTTGTTGATATATCCAAATTATTTCGTTACCCCCACCGACGTAGCCCCAAACAGTTTCTTTCGAAACTATCAGCCTTTATCTTTCTTTAGGTTTCCCTGGCTCTTCTTGCTACCTGCTTTATCCTCAAATGCCATTTCCACGATCCCGCTTCATCCGACATGCCAGTTTGGATCCGACACATTGTCTTGAAATGGATGGCACAATTTCTCCGTGTTAAAGTCCCTCGCCATAGAAAACAGGGTACACAAGAACTAGATCATGTGACTTTCCTGCACAGAAATAAAACTCCAAAAGAGTACGGTGTGAATAATAAAACCAAGATTGAGAACGCTTCCACACACATAACTTCATCCCCAGACCACACCCTGGCCACGCCTCCTAAAGATATTCAATCACTCGTCAAACGGATTTCTCATTCAAATCTCTTAAATGGAAATTATAAATCAGGAACCGGGCCGAGGGAACAAGAATCCATCTCGAAAATGACCATCACGCAGGTGGAGGACTGGTGCATAGAATCCAGCGATGCGAGTCTGAGCAGCAACGAATATCATGGACAGCGGCATAACTCTGAGACGGGAACAGATGGTGAGGTCAGAAAGTCCTTAAACGATGGCGACAGGAGTACGGAAGAAATACTGAAAATGCAGGAAAAACTGTTGGAATGTGTTCAAATCCTGACGAAAGAAGTGGCCAAAAACGAAGATATGCAGGAAAAAAAAGATGAATGGAACACGGCGGTTGCTATTTTGGATCGTGCTTTTCGTATGTTATTTTTGTTAATGTTCTTTCTGTCGACATTAACAATCTTTTACTTCTCCATGGTTTAGATATATCACTGTATGTCAAGTGATTGCATCAAAAAGGATTACTACGTAATTTTAACGGAACTGAACATCCTAATAGAAAAATAGACAACAACAGTAACATAGTTGCAGTAAAAAAATCTTTAATTCAAGGTTGATGGTCTTAACATGAACGAAGTGGGTGAATTTTTAGAGTGTATGCATACGGTGGAAAACTGCATAAAACAGAAACTGAACGCAGCAGATCCTAATTGATAGCATAACTTTACATGTCTTACTGTTTTTATCAAACACAACGGTGTTATAAATTACGGCTATAACTAATCAATTGTACAGCTTTGAAGAATGGTAGATATAGCCTTGATTAGATCTACTCTTCAAAAACAGAAATATACAATTATGTAAAAGAGACGCACTTAATGAAGCAATCACTTAGTATACTCAGCTTGGTAATCACACCAACTAAAAATAAAAACCATAAAACTGTTTACTTACAAATGTTTAGTATGCAACTCCCACATCAGCTAAGAAGCAATTAGTAGGTATATTATCAAACATTACTAGGCAGGGCCCTCATGTATGCATGCGGTAGGCTCATTTGAAGGAAATTTCGGGTGTCAACTGGTCACGGCATGATCGGCCCTTTTGTCATTTATGTGCTCTGCCTTGGGTTTAGTTTGCATTAAGGAGCAGTGCACTAGGCAAAAAAAAAATAGGAAATTGCTCCTTCGCTTAATTTTGCATTCGAGTTCTAACCAGCTGAATCCCATGCAACAAACTGATTGTTATCCCAAAACGTTCTTTTTCGAAAAATTCGCATGGGTAAGTCACCTCAATATTTCATAATGTGGTTCGGAGGCGGCGTTTTTCCTTTAATATAAATTTTCTCAGCAAATATATCACGCCTACTGTTTTCCTGTGCTTATAGGTACCTGATTTTCATGTCACTTTCTACTTTAGCCATGTTGGAATATTTTAAAAGTAATTTTTACTAGGAAGGCACTGATTGTTTTCCCCTCATTCTGTCTAACTGTCTTGACTGTGGGTATCTCTGTTACTTCAAGCAAAGGCGCACAAAGGTCCTGGGAGGGGAGGACTCAGAGCACATGTGCCCCTCTCCCCTTAGAAATAATTTATAAGAATAAAATAGCCTCGTATGCACTTAGATACCAAGACATTGTTGATGAAGGACAGTAAAAAAAAACAGTAAAAAAAAACCTTTTTTAAGCTACATCTGATATCAGATTTCTAAGACCATGCGTAGCTTGGAGCTTGCATGAAGATGATTACCGTAGAAACACACAGAATAAACAAAAACAACCAGAGGAAAAACTTGTCAATGATAATAGCTATTAGTTGCCATTCTTCCTTCATTAGGTCACTCATCTCTTGGTCTTGAATATATCGCACCACTTCGGCCACATCTTTGGAGAGATTTGTCTGAGTCTCTAACAGTTCTCTTGTCGTGCTATCAGCAATACCTCTAACGTCTTCTGTTGACTTCACATGATTTTCGTAAACGTGCTTTGGATGGTACTTTGGGGCGGTGTCTAGAAGATTGTGCCTCGAGGCTGCGTGGCTGCAAATCAGATCATTCATGGCACCACCGACTTGAATACCATCGTAAAAGTGCGGCATGCTCAAACGATTCGCGTGTCTGACTCGCTGAATTGACGGCAAAAGGTTTAACCTTGGTTGTATATCGCCAGGTAGGTTGGGTGACGTGTTTTTCAAATGCAGCTGCTGTGAGCTTGAGAGGTGATCACGTGAGGAATTACGACGCGAGGTGTTTGGAATCTTCCCGTGAATAACAGTCACAGGTTCGGAGTTTTCGTTCTCGTCTTTCTTTGGGTCTTTCTCTGAGGGTTCTTTGGGATCAATACCGCGCAAGATTTTCTTAACTGGCACCTTTGTAAGTCGAGCCATCCATCCCAACACTACATGACGCACCCAGTTCGGAACGGGTGTATGTGAGGGGTTGTTGAAATAGCACCTTAAGACGAGGCATGTTGCGACGAGAGCCAAAGCCACCTGACAAAAACGATACAATGTTATGAAATAAATGACCCATTTGGTTTGACTGAGCTAACGATAGCAAAAGGAGAAAAGAAGAACCTAAGACAGGAAAGTGAACGGACTGAACACAAGATAAACATCACAAATACATATAAATTGTCTCAAGCTCGGGAAATCACCCATGACCAGGACGCGATTTAAAGTGGTTCGCTTCCTGCAACTGATTTGTTAAAGGGTTTAATAGTGAGACCAATCGTAGAACACAATTAAACAAAATTAAAACAGTCCCAGATTCCACCCGATACTAACTTATTCCATGAATATTTGATCTCAGTTCTAATAGCGTATTTACGGTTGAAAGCAGAAACAGTGAAAAGATGGTCGCTCCCGAACCAGGATTGGGCAGCAGTTAGGATAAGTTTCAGCTTACCTCAAAAACACTGCCATAAAAGTAGACTGAGATAAGAGGTACAGTCTCTGAGGTCGCCGGTATAATCTCCACCACCAGTAACATGAAAACGGTCAAGGCCAGAAGGTTTGTAATAACTAGTGTGAGACGCTCACCGGACTCAGGTGGAAGGTAAAAGGACAACAGAGTCAGCGCTGAAAAGGAAGACAAAGGTGACCATCATAAACATTTCCTAACAGTCGACACAGCAAGGGTTTCCGCCACTTTGAGAGGTGCCTCGTAACCGGTTTCTTATGTCCAGCTACCTTACTTTTGGTTAATAACTCGAGCACGTTTGCTGATGTATGCTTTTCAAAATCTTCCAATTTTGTATTCTGCTCCATGATGTGTGAAATTTTTTTTTTTTTGGGAAACCCCTCTGGCACAACAAAAGGCGATGTCCCATCCTGTATTCCCTTTTGTGGAAATGATGGAGCAAAATGGTGACGATAGTTCAGATCAGTAGGCAAGTATCAACCTGCATTTTGCAAGATTCCCTTACAAGAACTAGCATATTATATCTACTATCGGCCTGACGAAAAATTCGTTTGCTTCACCCCATAATGACTCAGATCATCCCCCAAAAGAGGAGTGACACTCGTATCGTTTGCTAACCAAATGAGCTGACTCAACTTTTCTCCATGTATGGACGAAACGAGACAAACAATCTGGCCTGGATCTCCCATTTTCTTGTCCCAATTCTAAGTTTTGCTCTTTGGCAATTATAACATAGTGATTTAGTTTCATCCTGTGACGTAGTCTCCTCGTACCTGTGACATTTTATCATCAGAACCAAGGCAGCCACCTACCTGATATTAGAAAGCAAGGAGCGATCATATTCACAAAATAAAACATATGTCGTCTTCTTAACGTCATGGTGTAAGTAATATCCGGATAAGGCTCTGGACAACACGCATAAACAAGTTCGTTACGACTGCAGGGCATGCTTATTAGGTCCCATTCTCCGTGTCTGATGAACTTCTTAATGTCTCCATCACAAACATTTTTTCCTCCTTCTGGGATAAGGTCAAGTCTGAGACCGTCATATGTCCATGACCCGAACTTCATTGTACAGATCTAGGAATATATATATCTTATTAACCAAGCGCGAGGGCCGTACTGGGAGAATATCGGCCCGAGGTCTTGACAGTACGGACCGAGCGCAGCGAGGTCCGTACAATAAAGACCGAGGGTCGATATTCTTCCAGTACGGTCCCGAGCAAGCTTGGTTAATAAAAGATTTATTATACGACTGAAGTTCAAAGGGACACAAATGTGGTATCATTCGGGACCATTCGGGACAGTGCCCGGTCCAATACTTAGAGAATATTGGACCGGCAATAGAGCATTTTGATTGGTTGATTTTAGTTATTGGCCCTCTGACTGCCCGAGTCGTGTAATAAAACACTGTTATTAGCCAACGGGGGTTTTTATTTCAAGATCTATGTGAAAGTTTCAAACAGCTTCATCGCCATTTACCAAGGTTACAATAACGGTCAATAGATTTATGAGTTTCCATTCTTTCATTTGATATCACCACTTCGTCAGCAGCAAACAGTCCATCAAAAAACAAATGTATACGATCAGAGTAACTAATTCCCCCATAAAGGGGGTAAGTTTCTAAAGAAACTGTGGTGCTACTTCAGTGGGGGTGACAAGGTAATTTGGTTATAACAACTAACTTGAAATTGTACATTTGCCACCGTAAAGAGTTAAAAAGCTGAAGTTTCAAGCGTCAGCCCTTAGTCATTCGCTCTTTACGGTGGCCAATTTACAATTTCAACTTAGTTGTTATAACCAAATTACCTAATTCCCATAAGTTTTATCAATAATAACTTGAGCCAAGTGGTATTCTTGGATATTAGGAACTCAAACAAGGACATTAAATTGTCACTTGGCAATGAGCAATTTACCTGTTTGTCAAAAGGAAAGTAAGTGACGTCAAATTTACAGGAGCTGGTCAGGATTTTTGGCGCCATCCACATAATGTTTCCGTTTGACCCTAGGACAAGTTTAGTCTTGAAACGATCCAGAGCGCCATCGTCAGAGTCATCTACACTGTATAATGAACACGACAAAAGCTTACGTTCGTGGAATCTTTTTTCGGAATTCAGCAGTTGTCGAGGAAGGTGTCACTCTGCATTACTAGAGGTAACTGGCTAAACTTGATTTCAGTGTTTATGTGATTATGTTGATTTCAGTGTTTATGGCAGATTTAGATTTAAATATTGACTAGATTTGCTGAACGATTCTGAACACGAGATGATTTTGAGTTATGGCCGATTTCATTCTACGAATGGAGCTCTTTGGCTTGCTAGTTCTAACCAATGGTAACATCTAACGCCCATATCTACACTAGCCTCCCCCGCAACAGTTCATATGGAGCCCCCTTGGTTTAATGCCCACAATACCAAACAAAGGTAAACACAAAAACCAATCAGAACTTGGTAATGTATTGTAGAGGATCTCCCAGGGGTTTTGGGGAACAAGGGAACATTGGCAAAATATTGAAGGGAACAAGGGAACATAAGCCTATTTTTAAGGAACAGGGGAACAAAACTGTACAAATTAGAGGAGAAAATATTGTGATATAAGAAATAAAGACGGTTATATCTGAGATTTTATTTATGGTCATTTATGCACTACTGTCATTTGTTTCGTCTTACTTTACGTACACAAGAAATCAAACAAAGACAAAGCAATCAGCTGGGAGTCTGGGTGCGAGAAGTTGGCGGAAATCTGTTGTCACAGATTGCCAAGATGGCGAAGAGATTTGCGGATCGTGTTGTGCTGCCTGTCACTGCTGCGATTTATAGAAATGGCGATGAAAAACCAGCAATGCGTTGGTCCTTTGAAATGGGAATAGGGGGCGAAAGTGACAAGGCATTATTTGATTTTATTGCTCGAGTTAGAGAAGGATTTGGCATCACAGATCGGTGTAGCCAGCTAAGCATAGCGAGATTATACGATCAGTGTGAAAGAGTTTCAAGTCACAACGAACTGTCCAAAAGGCAGAGTATTTGAGATTGACTCCCAAGAACAGTGGAATGCAGCGATTATCAAACTGATAACGAAGGAGCGGGAGTTAATAGGTAGGTTTCCCAAATCTGGAAGAGGGCAAATTGGGACGAGTTTCTATATTATCATGTTGACCAGGAGAATTAAGGTTAGTTCTACAGCTCATCCCACTCTGATGGATTGTGAATTAAGGTTAGTTCTACAGCTCATCCCACTCTGATGGATTGTGAATTAAGGTTAGTTCTACAGCTCATCCCACTCTGATGGATTGGGAATTAAGGTTAGTTCTACAGCTCATCCCACTCTGATGGATTGTGAATTAAGGTTGGTTCTACAGCTCATCCCACTCTGATGGATTGTGAATTAAGGTTAGTTCTACAGCTCATCCCACTCTGATGGATTGGGAATTAAGGTTAGTTCTACAGTTCATCCCACTCTGATGGATTGTGAATTAAGGTTAGCTCTACAGCTCATCCCGCTCTGATGGATTGTGAATTAAGGTTAGTTCTACAGCTCATCCCACTCTGATGGATTGTGAATTAAGGTTAGTTCTACAGCTCATCCCACTCTGATGGATTGTGAATTAAGGTTAGTTCTACAGCTCATCCCACTCTGATGGATTGTGAATTAAGGTTAGTTCTACAGCTCATCCCACTCTGATGGATTGTGAATTAAGGTTAGTTCTACAGCTCATCCCACTCTGATGGATTGTGAATTAAGGTTAGTTCTACAGCTCATCCCACTCTGATGGATTGTGAATTAAGGTTAGTTCTACAGCTCATCCCACTCTGATGGATTGTGAATTAAGGTTAGTTCTACAGCTCATCCCACTCTGATGGATTGTGAATTAAGGTTAGTTCTACAGCTCATCCCACTCTGATAGATTGTGAATTAAGGTTAGTTCTACAGCTCATCCCACTCTGATGGATTGTGAATTAAGGTTAGTTCTACAGCTCATCCCACTCTGATGGATTGTGAATTAAGGTTAGTTCTACAGCTCATCCCACTCTGATGGATTGGGAATTAAGGTTAGTTCTACAGCTCATCCCACTCTGATGGAATGGGAATTAAGGTTAGTTCTACAGCTGATCCCACTCTGATGGATTGGGAATTTCACTCAGTTGTTCGAGATGATGTCACACAAATTGAACGTCTCATAAAATGTATTCTATTCTTTTATAAGTTTTGTTTTTAGTGTCTTTTTTTTTTTACGGGAGGGAATTGAGGGCGGTGATAAGTGGCAAGCAAATTCATTAAACGGGGAACAAATAAGGATAGAGTGTGGGAACATGAGAACATAGGGCAATTTTGGAAGGGAACAAGGGAACAAGGACCCCCCTTCCCCCCGCCCTGGGAGACCCTCATTGTAGGAAGCCTATGAGAACCGAAAGTAAATAGATCAAATGGTCTGAAGCACAGGTGACCAAACAATGCCAAAGTAGCGACAGGTTTTTGTTATAAATATAATGTATCGAGGAGGGGGCGAGAGTTTCCAGATCACTCACATGACGAGGCAAAGCAAATTGAAACCAATGCAAACCCAGATCATCGAAACTAAAATAAAAATAACTCTTGTGTAAATTCTACTTGTCTCTCGTGGCAACTTGTGACAACTCTCTAAAAGGAGTTTCAATTACAGGAAGAAGAAAGAAGAACGCATCGGTGCAAATGAATGTATCAAACATAAATGTATAGACTCTCACTTGTTGTACAAGAATATATCAGGCTTCCAGAGTTTCGACTCATGCACGTTAATGGTTTTTATACCACCAAAGTTTGAACTATTCCACCTTAAGAACGGATTATTCCAGGCCTGAAAATGATTTTAAAAAAAACTTAACAAAATTTAACAGTGATAAAGCAACACAAAACAACAGCAAAAGACGCAACCGTGGGATGAGTTAGTTGCTGATCTACGAAAAATTGACTTTAGTACTGGGCTCACAAGATATAGAGATTTAATCTAACGGTGGTTACCTTAGAGGGAGTCTGGAGTCTCCGTTCCAGTTCGCTAACTACGTTTCATTTACGTTTCATTTAGGGCTAACGCTCGAAACGTCAGCTTTTTGTAATCATTACGGTGGCCAATTTACCATTTCAACTTTGTTAATATATCCAAATTATTTCGTTACTCCCACCGACGCAGCCCCAAACAGTTTCTTTCGAAACTATCAGCCTTTATACGTTTCATTTACGTTAGTTTTGTTACTTAGTTACTTTTTTATTAACTGTTGGTCGCTTGCATTACTCGCGTACTTGTAGTTCCGTTTTGTAAGTACCCTTGCAGTATAGTCATAACTGAGTTAAATTTTTTATTCAAAACTGGTGATATTTATTTACCTGTCTTATCCAAACACTACTCTTGACGATTTGATTTTTGAAATCCTGAAAAAAAAAGCCGATCTGCAATTACTATTCAATGTTAAAGATTAGAAGTAACTAGTTGTCCCACTCAGCCATTTCGCCCAGGACATATGTTCTCTTTCTGCTGAAAGATAGGCAATTATGGTTAATGCCATTTAAGTTATCTCAACTATTCAGTTTGACAGAATCAATAAATTACATCAATGATTTCAATCAAAATAAGTGAACATTTGCATTTATATAGCGTTCTTGATCGTTATTTTTGGAAGTATGCATTGTTTAAAGGAGTCGAAAGTTTTGAGCCTGTCTAGAATGACTGTTGTAACGAAATTTGATAATGAAAATATCTTTCCACTGAGCCGGCTTTGCGATCCAAACCAACTGATAAACTTTGACAACATTTTCTCTTTTGTTCGTTCTCAGTTTCTCTGTCCGTTTCTCTGTTCCAGTTTGCTGGCTACGTTTCATTTTTTGATCAAACATTAGTTTTGTTACTTAGTTACTTTAAATTTGATAATGGATACTGTGGCGAAGATAAAATTAACGCAAAGAAGGAGTTGAAGACGGCAATATTTTCGCTTGTTTCACTGAAGCGAAACTCGAGGTTCTCTGCTTGAATTGACATTGTTTTCATGTTTCATGCTAAGTGATTCGTTGTTCCGGAACTACTTTGAATAGCCTTTTCAATCTATCAGAAAATTTAACAAAGCGTGTGATTCTTTTTAAGTGAAAAAAAAAAAAAACATTTCAAAGGCCCTCCCTCTTGTTTTGATTGATTAAGATAAATGACCCTAGGTCAAATTTACGTGTACTAATGAACTTTATAACTAAAGTGCATTCCAATTGAGTGGGCAGCCAACAAGACTCCATTATCTTACAAGAATTTAAAACCAAATTCCTTGCTTGCCTGATTTTCAAGCAAGCATTGCAGCATTAAATTATCAAATATGACTCCAGAGAAGTAGAATAGGCTCCATCAGTCACCTTTACCCTTAATCTTCCATAAAAGTCATTTTGGACTTACCACTTCAATGATCTGATGGAGCGAGATGCCAAACTTCACTTCCACTGTGTCAGTTTTCTTCAGTACAGGATGGATTTCTGGGTCATAGTTATCAAATAAGTAGTGTAATAACTTCTTCTCGTCGTCATCATCAGTTATGCTTTCATACTTTGTCGCTTTAAAAAAAAAAGACACAAAGACCATTCTTATCATCTCACGAGTTTAATATGCATGCTTAAGTCTTTTTACAATTCATTGCGAGTATATTATTAAAAAAAAATATTACGTAACCGTCAGCAAAAGCCTAAATAGTTAATAATCTCTTGAACTGAGATACTACCTCTTTTATACAAAATTTTGTAGGCGGGTTATAAACCAGACAATCATTATACTTTGTGTTCTCCATGAAACAATCTTAAACTGTTTGTAGTGGAACAAAACATATCATACTGCGTTAAAACCGTTTGTTTATTCGCCAAGGTGATAGGAATAAAATACAAGAGAACGATTATTTCCTAAACTCCTCTGTGCAGATTTCCCACGGAAGAATGTCTGGCTTCTCTGCTAGGGAACGAAACTGTTACAAAATCTGCTTGTGTTAAAGCGTTCTTGCTGAACAATGAACTTACTTTTCATTATTGCTTATGCTCACCGATTTACTTGTCATCGTCAAAATTATTTAGGAATTCTGATTACCCTCATTAACGAAAAAAAGTACCTTTTCGTAATATTGTTCTTAATGCGATTACTATCTGATATCATTGCCGACACCCTGTTTTAATTATTCCTTGTCTACTTTTGATAATCTATAAATAAATTTATGGAAACTTTATGTGAAAGCTAAAACAACTAATTCTTTCATAAAGCTAAATAATAATAATAATAATAATATGCGGATAATTTCTTGCTAAACAGTCTACAAAAAGTTTGATTGAGTCATACTCATTAGCAAAATGATTTATGATTCTATCGGACAGTTCATTTTTTGTCTTGAGTGCGAAGGAGTTCCTTTGGTCAAGATCAAAGTGAGTTCTTTCTGCATGTATTGATAAAGAAACACCGCTTGAAAGACTTCGACAATCTTTTGCATGATTCTGATTGTAACTTGGTTTACTATTGGAAGGAAAACAAGGTGCACCGTCAAGTTTTGGGGCTCATAACGTAGAACCAAAAAAAGTGAATATCTAGTAATTTACGATGGAAACATTTCGTATCTTTAACATATGTTTAGAGCGCTCCCTACCGAGTAAGGCATTTGTGTGAACCTTGCAGTTTTGGAAGATGTAAAACCTGGTAAGCTGTAGAACAATTTTCAGAAAGAATCACAACCTTAACTAAAATCATTCGTCAAGTTTCTCGAAAATACTCTTGACTTTACGTCGGAACTCATCAATCCGACCACATTTGGAAGTCCAGCATCCTTCAGTTTTAATTTACCTCAGCGAGAATTCAATGATTTTAAAAAATGGACGACAGCCCACCTTGAGACGAGCACACGGTATAACCAAGTGACAAAAAGATGATATAAACACGCCATAAAATGGGCATATCTGCTCCGGGCGATCAGCTCCTCGTAAGGGTACGACGTGTTTCTTGGGTGTACGTGAATGTATGCATCTGGATTAAAAAATTCCTGACTTGAAAGCTATCCAATTCAAGCCCATTATCATAAACTGGCCTCAAACGCCAATTTCACCGCCCGGGGGCAATTCTAGGTCTCGACTTGTTTGACAAGTCATGAAAGCATTTCTGGAAACAATTCCGGTTGATCTGTTTTTAAAACTGCGTTGAACTTTTGCAGTGTAGGACTCGTTAACGCACCCAGTCATTGCTTAGGTATTAACATTTCACCAGAGATTATTATTTTTTCGGTTACTGGGAAAATGATGCAGATATTTACCTTTCTTATTTTGCGAAGTGCCAATGCATTTTTCAAAGCTCGGAAGCATGGTTGTCAAATGAATTTAACAATTAATTAACAGCTGGGAATGTAGTCTGATTGGAGAGATATTTATAAGTTTCTAGTTTAATTTAACTTTACTTCACTGTCTCTTCCAAAGAACAATGATTTTTCCTGAAAATGGAACATTTAAGCCAACAATGCTCCATGCAAACGATGCTTTATTGAATTACCGAAGTATTGTTCCACACTTAACAGGTTTGATTCTACTGAGGCAGGTAATCAAATAACCGCACAACACATTTAAAACAATAAACAAAGCTGAGTTGAAAAGAATACAAAAACAGTCTTATGTAGATGTACATCTAGCCCAGCTTTAGAAAACATCTTAATGGATCCTTCACTACACCTTAAAGAATTTATTTCTGTTTTTTTTTTTTCGAACAATGTTGACTCTTCTAATTCGATCTCAAAGAATATTCCCAACTTTCCTCACAGGATAAAACAAATAATAAACTTCACATTTTGCCCTCGACGGCCCAAATTATAGGTGCCCTCTCGACCAAACTTCAAAGTTTACAATACTGGATGAAAACCAATTGGTCTTCTGGCTGAATGTCATTACTAAGACGACATTAGCCACTGAATTTATAAAACATATTTTCCATCAATCAGTAGAGAATTGCTTTGTAACGAAGTGTATTATGAACAGACAAATGTTTATTTTGTGAAAATACATCTCAACGGCTAGCTTGTAATGATACACCTGTAATACACTTGTGACTCAAACTGAGAGTCGACCCAGCCTAGATCAACATAAAACATAGCGATCAACATTCCGAAGACCAATGAATATTCTAATTAAATTCCCAAGCTTTGTTAGATTGATCTAATTTCGCATTTTCTGCCTGGTAACTCCAGGGACTTGACAGCAGTTGATAAATCTCATCGTGCACACACGCTCTATGAGTGTCCTCTATGCATAGGTGTGAATGATAGCCAGTGGACAGAAGAACAAATACTAGCGGTGGGACACTCTACATGGGGCTATTTACATAACGACTGTGATAAAAGCAGTGTATTCAAACAGACGACTAAACAGACAGCCTCTGGCAACTTCTATCTGTTGCAGGTCATCATCAACACGATCTGAACCTTTTCACAGAGAAACATCTGCTTAACCCATGAAATTAGAAATAACAATGGCCTAGTTTATATAACAAATTATATTTTAACTGTGTGTGGTGGGAACGGTATCTGATTGCGCAATCCAGTTTCGATGACTATCTTCCGGTTTCAATTCACAAACAGCATGCCGCTATTTCTTTTCAGTTTCCTATGTGAGTCGTTTTGATCGTACTTGCCAGCTGTTCATGATCGGACACTACGTGGGCTGTGACCCATTCATTTAGGAAATGGGTGTCCTGGGCTGACAAAATTTGTTCGGCTGCACCAAACATCTCGACAAAATTTGTCTCCACCAAATTCTAATTTTGTCAATCGTAGGCGCACTGAAGAATAGCAAAATATTCTTTGACCACAAATTGTCAATCACATGAATGAACAGAAATTAGAACTGTTAAGAGGGGATCAAATTTTCTTGATTGCCATTCTGCCTCAAATCGCGGCTTGGAAATTGAAAATCATTCAGATTTCATGCCTGACAGAAATTTTCCTTGCAGTAGGACGACGGCGTCTTTTCCTGAGGCTTGATAAAATTTGGTAGGGGAAAAAATCACCGGGGCACTTGTCTCACGGAACTGATGACATTTTTTTTTTGCAAACAAAAAAGACAAAAACTTGACCAGTGCACCCAGACCCTTAGTCGAGCGCTGTGATTGGTATTCGCGCCATTTTACGGGTTTGAATAGTATGATATAAATGAAATCGAAACCACTGAGAAACGCCTGTCTTTGTGGTTCTGCTCGAAAGGAGCTTGACAGTACATTCCCACGTGGATATGTTAAGCCAAAAGTACTCGAGATTTTATGGGCAAACTCGAGCCACTCGGGCGAGTGTTTAACGTGTCATTTAAATTTTATCCATCGAGAGAACGTAGGTTATGTTATCATGCTGTAAATCTCTATAAAATGTGGTCTATCGCTTACAACATGTTACGAATGGATAAGCCATTAAGGATACTATGATGGTGCCGTTGATTATGTGTTCGTGAGAGTTCAGAAGTTTTGGTTCCATATATAACTGATAATTTACCACAATTCAATCAGCAATGAATCTCAGCATGCATACTGATAGTATGTTAACTCTATTATCTACAAAGCTGTCCACAGCTTCCAACGATTGAGTCTAATTTTAAGATGATAAGCGATTTCTTCGGGTTTGATATATAGGAATCGAGAGAGTAAGAGCCTGCATCTTGCCTAACATTCTCTGAAGCTTGTGACAGTACCGGCCAGCAAGCCAAAACAAAAAAAGATGCTTTCCTTTATCAGTTCAGGTTAAACTGATTCTTTGTGATGTTTGGAGCGGAAATTGTGATCGAGTTTATCAGTTAACGCTACCGTGGGGTGGAATTCAATTACGCTTCACTAACAAATCAGAGTCAAAGTAGAGATTGCTTCTGCAAGATTTTACTCTTAATGATTCATCTTCGAGGAAGTCAAAACGCTGATAATCTGGCTGCACATCTGCTGACTTTGCTTAATCGGATCCAAAATGTAAAACTGGCATATCGTTTGAGTCGTAAGCTGATTGAATATCACGACCCTCTAATTTTGCTACTTCCTCCACCCCATCAAATTTCTAATTGTGTTTATTATTGTTCTGACTTCCTATCATAGGTAGGTTTTGTTTCACCCTTCCTTTGAATCAAATTTCCAACGCTAAAATCTTCTTCACCTTACATAACATTTCGCAAACACGCTTTGTTTAAGTCTATCACAGGTCTCTCGTTCATGAGTGCACCCAAAAGAAACCACAAACCAATTGATTATCAGTAGTGAACCCACTTAAGTATCCATCAAGTGCATTCGGTAAACAAGGTATCCGTACGAAATATTTGAGTCAGCTAACTCTTCTGTTTATGAGTGTTTAGCAGGTATTGAGCTCTCAAAGATTGTTATCCTCATAACCTGCCTTTTGGTCGACAATGTTACAGAGAGTGGAGATGCAATATTTTATCTTGAACACTTAGCGGTTCGGTCCAAATGGTAATTTTCTAAAAACCACGAGTTTAACGGTCAGTCAAAAGCTTTCTCTACTTTGTTGGCCGACATTGGAAAAAAAATCACTATTTCCTTTTTAATCCTTTTGGTCAGTTGATGGGATTTTACGAAATTTCACGCAATCGTGATCTAAAAAGGATCGTTTTAATATGAGCAGACAGAGAGAGACAGGAGAGAAATAATCATTTCAAAGAATTTGCAAATTGCTTGTTTTTCACTTTACTTTCAATATTGAGATCAATTAAAGGATTTTTAATGTCATCTTCCCAAACTGGGAGTGCCAGGACGTCAAAATTGAAGCATGATCGATCGGGTTATGGTTCCCGCGAGGCTATAATAATAGCTTTATAGAACAAAGAAACCTTTGGAGAATCCGATCACTTCATCAAGGATAAACCATCTTTAGAAATAAACTGAAGCCGTACAATTACTGTGTACTAATTCTTGCTTTCCTCGAATCAGTTATGCAGGTCATTTCTTGCTATGGAATCAATGATATAGTTCTTCTTAAGTGCTATTCAAGTTATTCACGCCTCCAGTGGACGGGTTTCTCGTAACGGTAAATGAAGCGAGTATACAGAATGGTAAATGGGTGGACTGAATAACAAGTGAATAACACTCTTACTGCATACCTTTGCATGCCGCCGTTTGTTTATTTGATGTTTTATTTTAAGGGCTAATGATCAAAAAACTTACATTTAAAGACTTCGAAAACCGTACCCAGCCATCATAAAAAAAGAACTTATTTCAAGTTCACCGTTATTACATCACATAATTTTGGCTCATATGCCTCAGTGAGAACAGATTTGCACAAGTAAAGCGGTGATTGATTTGCAAATAATCAAGGAGCGCGTAATTCCTGATTTAACTGACACAGCCCAGAAAGACTGCACTAGGAATATACATCTTCTGACGTTTTTCAACTCCAGTTTAGTTTTGTCTCTGTGTAATAATCGAGTGTTCCAATTTGAAGAGACATGAGCAATATTGTCATATTCAAATAACTGCTGACCAAATTACTGAGTGTGTCGTGAACTATGGTTTAGAATACGTTTCTCTATTCGAGCGTGCAATTCCGCGACATAACGAATTGATATCAATAACGGCTGATAGTTTCTAAAGAAACTGTTTGGGGCTGCGTCGCTGGGGGTAACGAAATAATTTGAATATATCAACAAAGTTGAAATGGTAAATTGGCCACCGTTACGATTATAAAAGCTGACGTTTCGAGCGTTAGCCCTTCGTCGGAGCGAATAGGCGAATTGTGGGTTGTGTGCGTTTTTAAAGGCAGAAAAAGGAGCTACGTGATTGGTGGGAAAATCAATATCAATATCAATAACCCCCAGCAGTTATTATTTTCTATCGGTCCGAGATTTACTCGTTGCTTTAGACAAGTATGAGGCTGGGTGTAACCCCGAAAGAGATTATTACTAGCGGAGATGAGGAGCTACAGCATGATGCTAAATATAATTAGTTATCAGTGCCACCACTTCATCTGCATCTGTTCTGTCGTGGATGATGGATGGATATTTCCTCTAGGCT